CAGAGGGTCTCTCATTAGCAATTAAATACCGTAGCTCAGAGAGAAGTGACTCGTACCGCTTATTTCACATGATGGCCAGAACTAGGCATGAAGTCCCAAGTGACTATGGGAGGCCAGGAAGTGCAGCACTGCCTGTACCGGGGAGACTGAGAGCTGAAAATACTTGATAAACAGCACCATTGTTCTGGTCATCAGATAGTCTGCTGTCTCACAGGCAAAATACACTCACTTCCTCCCCAAGGTAGGGAAACCCCCAAGGTCCTATCCAATCATAACATCAAGCTCCAAGTCCAGGGTCTCTGAGGGATGCAAAGGTTTGATGATTGGTGATCTATTCATGAGGAGATGATGCATACTAGTCTCTGCATCAGGTCCACATGTTGCTCTTCTTGATCCAGAGACCTAAGACTATGAAAGAAATTGACAGTGATCTGCTGCCCCCACATATAATGTACAATCGTGAGTAGTGACAGGATAATAAAAATAAACACTCCCATTTGAGAGGGGGAAGAATAGGAGACATAAAGCAGTCAGTGGACCGCAACAAATTCTGAAATTCCTCTGAGCAGTCATTGAAAGGCCCCTCCAGGACTAAGGAATGTTCTTGAATGGACCCTGATTTGGCTTCTTAGGAGGTAGCTCACTTGTCTGTTTTTTCTTTGCTCCCTAGCTTCACCCTCTTGGACTTTCTTCTTCTTCCTTTTTTTCCTATGTTCCTTGGCTGTATCCGAAATGGACAGTGAGGAATATGCCCCTTTGGGGGATAAACAGGTTTCTTAGCCCACTTCCTGCCATAGATGCTTGGAAACCCAAAGACCATTTTCAGTCTTGAATAGTCACAGCCTCTGTTAGCCTAGGTTGGTGGTTCTTTTGGCGGTATCACTGTCAGAAACTTAGTTGGCTTTTTATGTATTTGTTTGCAGTCAGCTCCATGTGCCCTAACCACATCCACAGTTCTCTTCTAACCGTGATTCTTAGATTTGCTGCATAGCTCTGCCTTATTGGTCCCATACTTATCCTTGACTTAGTTTTGAATACAGGTATTTCTGCTATAATGCCATATATGCTTTCCTGAATTCTGCAAAATCGTACACTAAAATAAACAGGGTTTATGGGAAAAATGGGATTGGGACAGACCACTCAAAATCTGTGGAACACTGTAACCAGTGCACTAATGAAACCAACAATAATTATAATAAAAATAGTAGCATATTAAATGTCCACCTGCATATGCACCCAGCATCAGTCCACTGAACCTTTACAGACTTAATCCCTTGGGTGGTGGTTTCTTGCTCTGAGATTTGGGGTCTTGAAGACATTCACTTGCAAAATAGAGACTAGTTTCATTACAATAAAAAATTTGGTCTATTGTTTGGTGTGGGCTTCAGCAATTAAAAACTTTCATTTTTAAACACAAGAAGAGAAACATATACCCTCAACTTCACCAGATATAAAATGGAAAGTGTGTGTAGTGGCTCATGAAGCAGCTGAAGGAAGGTACAGAAGTAGGATGTTCAGCTTTTTTCTTAAGGTCTTCATATATTGCTAAGCCTTTCTTTTTATTTATTTATTTTTTATTTTTTTTGGTGAGGAAGATCATAATATATGTCGCCAGTCCTCCTCTTTTTGCTGAGGAAGACTGGCCCTGAGCTAACATCTGTGCCCATCTTCCTCCACTTTATATGGGACACCGCCACAGCACGGCCTGACAAGCAGTGTGTTGGTGCGTGCCCGGGATCCGAACCCCAGGCCACCGCAGCGGAGCACGTGAACTTAACCGGTATGCCACCGGGCTGGCCCCAAAGCCTGTCTTTTTAATTGTGAGAAAGCTTTCTCCTGATCATTTCAAACGTTAACTTGCAGAGGAAAATCTCGTGTAAACCAACGTGACTTCTGTGTTATACAGATGTCATTTCCCTATTTACTAATAGCATTTGGACTAATGCACAGAGAAATATGCTTTGTAGCAAAACAGCTAAGAGACTGCTTTGGTGAGAGAACCTCATTTTAGTCTCTTTTTAGAAAAGCTATTTTATTGGCCCCAATATAATTTATTTTATAATCACTTGGGAGGTTTTATCAGTGGTCGTGAAGGCCAAATCTTTGACGTGATCCTTGCCTCAAGACTGAGTTCTGATCAGCATTTGTAGGTCAAAGACCTTCTTAGTTTTATGTTAAGTACTTGCTGCTTCTAACCCTACAAATCGCTGACTTTTCTGGACTCCTTTTATTCCTGATTGTAAACTGATCAATTCTTTTCTGAATTCATCCATTTCATGTAATAATTTGTCAAGTACAGCCAGTAGTAACCAACACACTCTCTTAATAGTCCATTTTCCTACTAGAGCTATAAGTTCTTGTGGCATATTATCTACCTTCTGAGATAAGTAGCTGATAGTTTCACCAGTAATTTCGCCACTGGATAGTATAAGTTGCTGTCCTTTTAGCCTCCGATAACTGTTTCCTTGCCTCCTTCCAGCCAGCTTCTAAGCCTTTGCCATATATGTTAGGTTTTTTGATGAGGCAGCAACTCACTTCTGGACTCCACCTGCATCAGCTAGGATAGGCCAGATTATGCTGCAGTAGAAGCAACACAAGATCTCAGTGGCTTTAAGAACACACTCGGTGTAAAATTAAATAGAAAATTAAAAACTTAAAAAAAAATTCACAGCACTATTGATATCCTATAGGTCATTTTAGTCACCTAGGGACCCAGGGTGATAGCAGCCATCACCTTGAAGATTGCTGGTCCCTGTGGCAGAGGGAAAAGAGATCTGGAGGATCTCATGTGGGTTAGAAAATGGCCTGGCCTTCTACTTCCACTCATGATGCACTGGCCAGAAGTAGTCACACGGCCCCACCCAACTGTGGAGGAGGGGCAGGGTTAGAAGGCGCAGTCCTCCCGCGTGCCCAGAAGGCCGAGGGCCAGGAGTGTTTGGGAAGAACGCCGTAATGACTGCCACAGAGGATTTCCCTTCATTTATTTTTCTTTGTGTTCCTGGTTTTTGTTTAATTCCCAGCTTTTGCTGGTTAATTGAATTTTACTGTCTCTCCTCCCTTGCTTAATTTGAGATAATAAATGTAAGTTTATTTAATCGTACTTGTAGTAGTTTACATTATTTCCATGGGTCAGAAGTTTTGGCACATGCAAAATAAAGCTACTAGGATTTTCCTACTTAAAATATGAAGTATGAAACTATTTGATGTAAAAAGATATGTGGTTAAAGGAATAATTGAGTTTAAATTTTTTTGGAGTGTCATTTGTCTTAGTAGAAATAGACCATGAGCTTTGGAGTCAGGCGGGCCTGGAGTCAAACATAGATATATGACCTTAGACAAATTATTTAACCTCTAAGAGGCATAATTTCCTCATTTATAAATACAAAAAAGTATATATATCTATTCAGATGTCAGGTAAAACATGGTGGCATTTATCACCTCTCCACTCTGAAATTCCGCTAAAATGAAAGCAAAGTAATTTTTTTAAAAGAATAAACCATAAGGACAAAGAAAATGGAAAAGAAAACAATAGCAAAGGAATGATAGAAATTAGTTGTGAACTACATATTATAGTCATAATAATGTAAGCAATAAATACTTAAAAAGTTGTGATAGAACTATATTGGGAGGATGAAGGGAGAGCTGGGAACAATAAGGTGTAAGAAAACTATAGTGGAGACAAGTGGTAATATCTAAAATTGAAAAAAAAAGTCAAGAAATAGAAACAATCATATTATTTCAAAATATGGAAGTAAATACTGGGGGAAGAGGAGGGGGGACAGCTAAAATAGCTGAACATTTTTGTCTCTGGTGTGTGCGACTCAGATGGGATGGAGCAGGCAGAAGACGGCTGCTTTTTACAAACCTGGCAGTACATTGGACTTGGAAAACTATGTGCTTTTTTTTTTTTTTTAAGTAATTACTTTGATAAAAAATTTAAAATGAGTTTAAAAATCAACCCTAAAGTTTTGTGGAGGGTATTAAATAGAAATAATAGGTAATAAGCACCTACAGTGCCTGTGTACTTAACAGGCCTTCAGTAAGGACTGGTTTCCTTCCTCTTGTCAACTAGACCGGGTATGTGCTTGCTTTATGTTCATGTGACTCAGAGGTTAGGTGGTTGGCTAAACAGCAATGTGAGGTATGTCACAAAGCAAATTATGTGCCCTTCTAATCTTTTTTTTTAATGGATGGTTTTATTTTTCTTGGAACCATATCAACCTGATGGTAACTGTTTCTTAGAATTTAGACTTCTGTGCAACTGACACATGAAAAATCACCCAGTTATTGAGTGGATCCAACAAGCTATGCATAGAACAAATTTTAAAATACTTAGCAACCTTGAAATTACTCTAGTAAACCTGAAAACAATAAGATCTATAGTAATACGGTACCTAGATTATAAATTATTTCAGGCCAGGGGCGTTGTCTCTCTTTTCTATAGTTATGCTTTATTTTCCTGGTTCACAGTGCCTAGCCCTCTACCACCTTTGTTCTGTGAGCTCTCACTGTGGTGGATGGTGGTGACTGATGTTGAAGAGGAAGCCAGCCAGCATATAGTTCTTGCGTGTGTCATGGAGGACACATATGACTAGACCTTAAACTCCTTGTGGACAGAGACCATATATTCTGCCATGTCAGTGTGTCCCACAGCGTCTAGGAGAATGAATGCTGTGCAGTGGTACACACTTGTTTGGTCATCACGTATGTACTGAACACCCGCTAAGTGCTAGGCCCTGTGCTGAGCTCTAAGGATGTCTCTGTGAACTGGACAGATGATGACTCCTGCAGTCTTAGAACTTACATTCTAACAAAATGTTTGTTGAATTCATGTAACTCAGTAAAATAATGGCCCACACTGAACCATTTAAACAGGATAAAGAATTGCATATATAAAGAGTTTAATCATTTTAAGCTATGTTTGTTGTATGATGTAAGGGCATGTTATAAAAAGGAAATAGTGATATCTGATCTTTTGTCCTCTTTGCTTTTCTTTGTAGATAAGATGCTCCAAGTCACCTGCAGCTCTCTTCAAAAGAAAAATCACTAGTGCTCTGCTCTTGCCGTAATACCAAACCTTTTGACTTACGCTTTGGTGCTGCAACACTGGAAGAATTGCACACAGGTTCCAGGATTACCTTTTTTTCATTTGAGTGATTCTTTGTGGATGGAAAAAAATTTGAGTCTTAATAATTACCCTGTTTTAAAGCTATTTCTCTATAGTCTGAACTGCTTAATAAATTGGGCCACTTACCAATGAGCCACACAGCCAGTTCTTGTCAAGAGCTGGTTGAAAACTGTGCTGTGCATGTAGCAGGGATGGCACAAGAAGACAGCCGTCGTGGTCAAGTGCCATCTACCTTTTATCATGGTGCCAACCAAGAACTTGACCTGTCCACCAAAGTGTACAAAAGAGAATCAGGAAGTCCTTATTCTGTGTTAGTGGACACCAAGATGAGCAAACCGCATCTCCATGAGACGGAGGAACAGCCGTATTTCAGGGAGACAAGAGCAGTGTCTGACGTGCATGCTGTTAAAGAAGACCGGGAGAATTCTGATGACACAGAAGAGGAGGAGGAGGAAGAAGTCTCTTACAAAAGGGAGCAGATCATAGTGGAGGTAAACCTTAATAATCAAACATTAAATGTATCTAAAGGGGAAAAGGGTGTCTCTTCTCAGTCCAAAGAGACTCCTGTTCTTAAGACAAGCAGTGAGGAGGAAGAGGAAGAGAGTGAGGAAGAGGCCACAGATGACAGCAATGACTATGGAGAGAACGAAAGGCAGAAGAAAAAGGAGAAGATAGTGGAGAAAGTCAGCGTTACACAAAGGAGGACGAGGAGAGCTGCCTCTGTTGCTGCAGCTACCACTTCCCCTACTCCCAGAGCTACCAGAGGTCGTAGGAAGAGTGTAGAGCCACCTAAGCGTAAGAAGCGGGCCACAAAGGAGCCCAAAGCACCAGTCCAGAAAGCTAAGTGTGAAGAGAAAGAGACTCTGACCTGTGAGAAGTGCCCCAGGGTGTTTAATACTCGCTGGTACCTGGAGAAGCACATGAACGTTACTCATAGGCGCATGCAGATTTGTGATAAGTGTGGCAAGAAGTTTGTCCTGGAAAGTGAGCTGTCCCTTCACCAGCAAACAGACTGTGAAAAAAATATTCAGGTAGGTTTCATCACCAAGAGGGCAAACTTTCCAGGATAGAACCTGGCTGTTCAGACTCACCTGGTATCTGCCCAAGAGAATGCAAATGATAGAGGCTGAAGGGACAGATTTCACCAATTTATCTTTCTAAGAGCTCCTGCTTTGGTCTTTTCGAAACCCAAGCTTAACATTTTATTTCAAAGCATTAAATTTAACTGACGCTGGACTAGTGGGAACCCAGGTACATTGCAAAGGGGATCTGTTATAGGTGATTGCCCAGGAGGTAAAGTCAGCACCGACTTTGCAGTGATTCAGTGTTGTAAGACGTGTCCTGTAATTCATTCTGGCATCTTCTCTGGCAAGGTGGGAGATATTGAGCCAAGGTCAGGAGTAGAGAGAGGTCCCTTTCTAGGTTTAAAAGGATGCCAGATTCTAGTACAGCCGATGGGGACAGAATCCATAATGACTCAGACCGGAGGAAATGGAAGATCTCCAGGAGTGAGTTTGCTTTTACCAGTGGAGAGATGACAACAGTAAATTTGTCAAGAGGCTGAGCCCATGGGAATATACAAACTTTAAACAGAGGCTGAGCTGGTTGAAAACATTGTCCACCTGACAGTAGGGTTACATAATGCTTTGTACCATATTGTTAAGGTAACAAAACATGGTATTCAAACCAGGCTGGTGTCTTGAAAGGACTATATCGTGATAGGTTAAGAGGTGTGGTAATTATATTGAGTGAATTATATTACATTGAGCTATGTTGGTTTGCACATGTGAGTGTATGTTAATGAATATTCATAAAAGGTAAGTCTATTAATGTCTCCATAAAATAGAAATATTTTGTACCATATTTAAGCTAAACTTCTTGTAAAAGATGGAACTGTTTTCATGTGGTTTGTTTCTTGGAGTGCTCCTAATTTGGAGTGCTCCTTATTTTTCACTTTTCCTCTTGCTTTTAATCAACTGAAATTATTGCTTTGCTTTAAAGAGACTTTTTAAAAAATATAAATTACATTTGCTAAAAATTCACTGCTTTTTGATTCGTCAGTTGTGACTTGATCTCCCACATGCTGGGTAAATAAAAGAGGATTGAGTCATGGCGCCCATCCCCTCCAGTCACTACCAGTGCCTTGCTGGGTTGTGAATTGGTTGTAACAGGTCAGGCCAAAGGGGATGTGATGTGGTGCTGCCCCCTAGGGGTCAAACTTAGGTTCTGTAATGAGTCACTACTGAAAAGGTGGATCTCAGTCTTGATCTTTATATAGTTTTTTTTTTTTTTACTTAAATTTGACTTATTAAGTACAGATAAGAAAACATTTAGTAAATCCTTTTTTTGTGACTTTCCTCACTATTCCTCACCAAAATGTGTTTAAACTTGTGTTTAGGTTTTGTGGATTCTGCTAAATGAACTCTCTTTACATTCCTGAAGAACACTGCTTTGTTCTTATGTATGGATCCTAGTAATCCTGAAGACCTAGGAACAAGTAAAAATTAAAACCCTGCCCTACAAAAATGGCTTATGGGGGTAGTCTTTCCTTTTCTTGAGCAATATCCAACCAGAGGCCTATCTTTTTAACTCTTGTCCAAGTCCCTGTTTCCTGAAGTGACAGTGATGTTCAGAGATCTTTATTTACGGTGAATACCAACTTGTTCCCTTAAGTATCCCAGAGTCTGATGGTTACCTAGAACTTTCTAGTATTGTTTTACTTTAACCGGAAGTATTTTATTTTGATACACTTTATGCCTGATAGTCTAGACTGTTAATGATTCATAATACAAGGAACTAGGCAATGTTGCATGTGTTTGCTATAGATGCTTGTATGGGAGATCTGGAGCTGGACAGTAAGAGAAAAGGGAGAATGAAGCTAACAGTTTAGAAGTTGTATTAAATTCTGCCAGAGGGAAATGAGAGTTGGGAAAATATAATAAAATCTCAATAATTTATGTTAATGAAGGCTCCAAATGCATTCTCTAAGGTACCAAAACATGGTTATACTTCTACAGATATGTAACCATTAATATGTACTTTGTTTTAGCTTGTTTTTATTTATGCTGATTTAAAATTAGTTTGGGGGCTGGCCCGGTGGCACAGTGGTTAAGTGCACGCGCTCCACTGTGGTGGCCCAGGGTTCGCAGGTTCGGATCCCGGGCGCGCACTGACGCACCACTTGTCAAGCCATGCTGTGGTGGCGTCCCATATAAAGTAGAGGAAGATGGGTGTGGATGTTAGCCCAGGGCCAATCTTCCTCAACAAAAAAAAAAAAAAAGAAGAAGAAGATTGGCATCAGATGTTAGCTCAGAACTGGTCTTCCTCACACAAAAAAAATAAAATTAGTTTGTATTCTCTAGTAAACACTTACTAACTGCATAGTGACCCCTGTGTAGGAGGCAGCCACTCTTGGTTATTTGTATATTAAAAAAACCTTGAAGGTTCTTTTCATAGGTATGATACTAAACTTTATAAAAACAGTCAATTCTTTGGTATTAGTGGAACTTTTGAACTTTTCGTTTCTTTTTGTCTTACTTTTTGCCATTGTTTTCATACTCCCAAAGTGTCTCTAAAAGACGCATCTTGGAAAATAGAACATACAGATGCTGGTGTTGGAATCGGGACTCCGTGGAGGAATAGCGTTTGTCCGGATTCTGGCCTTGTGCCACAAATCTAAAGCACATCCATTTCATCTGCCAGTAGGCAGTTACGGCTTTCTGCAAGCCCCTATAAATAAAGATTATTTCTATTTATCCTGCTCAGTGTGTTTCCTGTAACAAATCATTCAAGAAACTCTGGTCCCTTCATGAACATATCAAGATCGTCCACGGATATGCAGAAAAGAAATTTTCCTGTGAAATTTGTGAGAAAAAATTCTATACCATGGCTCATGTGCGGAAACACATGGTTGGTAAGTTTTTTCTGCTTCTTTTCTCTCACACCTATAATTTTCCCTTGTTCTTTGGTGTGTTTTATGCTCTGGATTGGGCAGGAGATGAGGAACTGCCTGACTTTAATCAGTTTTGACTTGTTAAGACTAAATGCAGCATGTCTTCAGTAAGCATCACCAAATTGGACGGTGTAGTCTTCCCCACCCAGGATTCTTTTCAACGTTGTTATTTATGTTTCTCTTCAGAACATTACTATTAAAGCCTCACAAATTAGAGTGTAGAAAATTAAGATGGCATAATTACCCTACAGTAGGACACCTGTCTCTTCCAGTTTGAGCTTTTTGGTGGACTTATTTTGAGTGTAAGTGCATTCTGTGTTGCAGCACACACAAAAGACATGCCATTTACATGTGAAACCTGTGGAAAATCATTCAAACGCAGTATGTCACTCAAGGTGCACTCCTTGCAGCATTCTGGAGAGAAGCCCTTCAGATGCGAGGTAAGGAATGTGCTACCCTAGGGGCTAGCTCTCGTGTGTGTGGTGAAGTGGTGAGGGAGGTGTGCTGTAGTACAAGGCACGAGGCTGCCTTTCCATAGGACCTTTAGGCGCGTGCTCTGAGCGGTGTGTTCTCTCACTGCTAGGTAGAGAAATATCTTTTTTATCACACTGTTAAACTTTCTTAGATTAGGTTAAACTTGGGAATAATACATGATGAGTAATTTTTCTTTTCTCGGTAATTCAGAGAAGTTGGGTATACTTCAGTGAAAATTATATGGGGAAATTTCCCTTTTATTAACAACTCAACTGCGGAAATATAGCAAAGCCAAATAGTTGACACCAGCAGCTTCTCTTTTGAGTATGAAAAATAAACCTAATCCCAGAGACTGTGTAGGGTGGGCTCAAGTAAAGCTACTGTGCTTGGCATTCAAAAATCTCCACTGTGTCCAATGCAGAACTGTGACGAAAGGTTTCAGTACAAGTACCAGCTACGCTCCCACATGAGCATCCACATTGGGCACAAACAGTTCATGTGCCAGTGGTGTGGCAAGGATTTCAACATGAAGCAGTACTTCGATGAACACATGAAAACACACACTGGTAAGAATTTCCTGGGCAAGGTACAGATGTGTCTCGAGCACTTGTTGATGATCTCCTGTGAGTCTGTTTATGTAAAAATGTAAACCACAAAGTTGCATTCTAAGTGCAAATTCCACTTTAAGTAAACCTGATATGTAAAAATACAGATTTATAATACTGAAAAATTAGGCTTTCATAACTCTATTTAAAAAAGGATTATTTGTTAGTGCCTTTTAACTGTGGGTTTCTTCAAGACAGTGGATTCTTTACTTGGGGCACAAGATCTCCTGAAATTGTATAAAACTTGTTTTGTGTATGTGCATATGTTATCTTTCTAAGGAAAGGGTTCTGGCCTTTTAAAAAATGGAGGACACTGACTGCTTCAAATAGAATACCCTCTCAGTATTCTTCAAGTTTGATTGGATGTGATTTACCAAAATTCACTACTTTTCAGGAATACATCCATCAGATGAAGTTAAATAATATTTTAACCACTTTGTGTTTTTAGGGGTGTATGCTTCATAGCACAGATTTGAACCTTGTAAGCATTTGATTATCCCGCTTCCAGGGTGCTGGCTGAAAATAATAGCTTCCCTGTCAACACTGCGTCACTGCAGCTCAGGCTCCACATACCAGGATTAGCTGTCTTTGCACAAATTGAACAGTATGAAACATTTTTCAGGTTTCTAGATAAAATCTAATCATAGGATTCTTGGTTCTATTAGTCTGCAGAGTAGCAGAGCTGGAAAGAACCACAAGAGATTATCTTGCTTAGCCTGGTGTTTTTTTTGCTTAACTAGTGGTGAGGAAATTCTGCCCGTGGCTGGATCACTTTAGTTCCATTTCTCTCTTGAAATCAAAAGAAAAATGCCTGTGCGTTGGGCTTCTTTCCCATTCAGAGCAGAGTACCCTCAGATTTTAAGGATTAGGCTAGATGAAGAGTCATGAGAGGAGTTTCATTAAGTAAATTACACCTTAAAAGGTAATGATAACTTTGAACCCTAAGTGGGTATGTAGCAGGATATAACAGAATATTTCACACATTCTCCTCTTATCATTTGGTGGCTCTGGGATAGGCTCTTAGTTCTGAGTCACCTTGAGGATTCAGTTTTTTGTTATTCAGCATGAGATTATGGAACTAGACAGAAAATAACTTTTTTGAAGGCAGTTGTGTCACATTTACACACGTGCTTGGGACATAGTGGGTGCCAGTAAATGTTTGTCACATGATTGGAAGGAACCTGCAACCACATAAGCCTCTGCCTCTGCACTCATCTCCTCTTCTCTTTGTGTCCCCGTGTGTCTTTCTCCCTGCTCCTTCCTGTCTCCTTCTTTCCTTTCTCTTCCTTCTTTCCTGTTTGTCTGTCTTTCTTTCTTCAGACCCTTAAATGTCTATAATATAAAACTAAAGTGTATATTTCATGATTAACGTATCTGCTGAATAAAATTTTACAAGTATTCTTCTTTTACCACTTAGGCAAGCTGAACATTTCCTAGATCTTCTAAGGGAATACAGCCACCTAAATTCACTTAAATTTTTGTCCTTCTCATTAAAACAGTAGTACATAACTTATTAAAGTATATTGGAAAACTGAAAACAAAATAGAAATGATCTATAATCTTATCTCTGAGAGATCACTACTGTTAACATTTTGGCATACATTTAAAAAAAAAACTTTAGTTTCTTAATACACATATAGGTAGATACTATGCATAAATGTTTATGTGTTCATGTACATAGTAATAAAACAAAAATTGGGTCTTTATACTCTATTGTAACTTGTTTTTTATTTTACTGTACTTTGTCATTAACAGCAATATCATTTTAATGGTTGTATAATATTCCTTCTTATAAATTTGCTGTAACATATTATTATGCACATATATGCCAGGCACTGTTAAGTGCTTTACATACATTATCTCATTTAATCAATATTACCTTTACAGCAGTTCTATAAAGTAAAGGATGTTATCTCCATTCTATTTTGCTAGTTTCCTATTGGACATTTAGATTATTTCTGTTTGCAGTTTTTCTACTGTTATAAATAATATTATGATAAACAACTTTGTGGCTAATACATCCATGGTTATTTTACTTAGGATAAATTCCTGGAAATGGGATTATTAGGGCAAAGGGATGTGCACATTTTTAAGAGTTGGTGATATGTATTACAGAATTGCTGTCCACAGACACTCTTATCAGCTGTACAGGAAAATACCCACTTCCCCAGCCTTCTACAATGCTAAATAAAATCCTTGCTGATTTGATAGGTGAAAAATGGTTTCTTACTATATTAATTTGCACTTAATTGCTAAGTAAGACTGAACATTTTTTATATGCTTTTTGGGTGTCAATGTATTTTCTTTTCTGAATTTCTTGTGCCTTTTCTGTTTTTATCTTTCCATTGCAGTGTTTGACTTTTTCTTAACGTTTATAATAGCTCTTTATATATATTTATATATACTGGACCTTGTTTAACACCGATATGAAAATACTTTCCGCTGGTTTGTCATCTGCCTTTTAATTTTGTTTGTAATACTCAAATTGGGAAAGCAGTATGGAGTTGGACAGACCTGGCTCTGCCACTCACTAGCAGTGTGACTTGAAGTGAATTATGCAACCTCTGTAGGCCTTTGGTTGGTTTCTTGATGTTAAATAAGGATGATCATAGCACCTGAGAAGATACAAGGAGAAGGGTTAGCTTTAAAGAAGAAAAGAGATAGCTCTTTTCAGGCTGGTGAAACCACATTCAGAGTATGTCTTGGTGGGGATTAAGGCCATTGCAGGAACTGGCTTTGATTGGGCTGTTTCTTTGCAGTTAAGGAGAAGTGAGGCAGATCTTATCTAGGGAAGCTGACCAGCCATCAGACAGGGTTTCCTAGGATGGTGTGGACATGGGGTGAGTGCAACATAGAACAATTGCTGATTCTCCTTGTACCAGGCACAGTGCTAAGAGTTTTTGCCCTCAAGGAGTTTACAGTCCAATGATAGTGATGGTAATTAATAATAATAATAATAATAATAGCACTAAAATGCATTGAATGTCTGCTATGTGCCAGATACTGTTCTAAGCACTTCCCTTGTATTTTTAACTTATCACAATAACCTATTACTATTATGTTCATTTTTAAGATGAGGAAACTGAGGCTCAGAGATTAAATAACTTGTCCAAAGCGGTCTGACTCCAGAACCACATACTTAATGAGTCTGATATAAATTTAATGTAGCAAGTAGTAAAATGGAGGGATACACAGGGCATCATGAGGGCAAAAAGCACCATCCCAGAGTCTGGTTCTCATCTTCCACAGTTTGTCAGTGTGCTCAAGCAGATCAGAGGAATTGATATGTGCTAAATAGTCTTAATGATATCTAATTAAAATGGCTAATTTATTAATTTACAGTGAAAGGCTGAGTGGCAGGTGGTTCATAACTCTTATGTTCTTTGATCAGGATATTCTTTGCCTAAAGAAAAATCTATATTAGAAGCTAAATTATAATCAGAAGATTGTCAGAGACAGGGAATTACAGCAAAGGAAGTAATTGAATGACCTTAATGGTGAGTACCATACTTCATTGAATCCAAGAAGCCATCAGTTGTAAGACAAACTTAATTTATATACGTCTAAGAAAATACTGCAAATTAAACAATAAATGCCATTGATAGTGAGGTATATGTCAATTTCAGAGATGTTAGTACGTGAGGGAAAATGCATGTCTTAGAATTAACAAATATTAATTTATAAATATTAATTAGGGACCTACTAAATGGAGCTACTATAGTGAACAAGACTGAAATGGTCCCTAGGTTCAGAGTTTATAGTCAGGTTGAGGTGATAGATAAGCAAGGCATAGCAATGGTTTAGTCATGAGAGCATAGTAAGTACATGGAATGTACATACAATGTGATGGATCGGCGGGGAGGGGCAGAGAGTATGATAAGACATGATACTGGAGAACAGAAAGCAAGTACCAGATCACAAAAAAATCTATAAGCCATGTAAAAAAGTTTGGATTTTATTCTAAGGACAGTGGGAAGTTCTTGAAATGTGTTAAGCAGACTGTAACACAACTATCTGAAAGTTCATTCTGGCTACAGTGTGGAGAATGAATTGGAGGGTGGAGAGCAAGAATAGAGATGGAGAAACCAGTCAAGTGGATATTGTAGTAATCCAGGTGAATGATTGTGGTGTTATGGACTATGGTAATAGCAGTGGATGAAATTAAAGTGATAGACAAGGTAAAGTTGAATGAACTTGGTGATTGATTGGATATCAGTGGTGTGGGAGAGAAGAATCAAGGGTTAGTCCCAGATTTGGGGCTTGTATACCATTTGTCAAGAGAGAGAATAGTGGAGGGAGGAGCAGGTTTGCCAGGTAGGATAATGAATTTAATTTTGTTAGTTTTGAGATATCTATGGGACATTCAAGTGGAAATATCCAGTAGGCAGTTTGAGAGATTTAGGCTAGATATAGAGATATACAGACTTCTGAGGCTGCTCAAGGATGTTCATACTAAGCAGACTGGAATGCTTGTGTTTATTGGCCAAACTGCTTTTTCCTTTGAGCAGTGCAAAACACAACTGACTAGCCAAACCCTCACTCTTTTCTGTCTTCCCTGCAGATTCTCTGTCTTCATTTATAACAGTCTTTCTTCAGGCTCATTACAACACAGTTTCTTACAATCAGCTTAGCTTTATCTGTATGTAACCAGTCATATGTTTAAATGTATTGATAGATGTGCTTTTCTAGTTACCTTGATGGACTTAGCTGTTAGTGTATCTTCCAGCCACCCATTTACCAGCTCTTCCTTAAAGTGGGACATTATACAGGTGGTTGATTTCAAATGTTACATTTTGATTTTTCCTTATTTCAGCCTCCTTGTAATCTTACCTTGAGGTTTCAGGGAAACGTTGACATCAGTTATTAGCACAGTTAGGAGATGGGGCCTAATGAATGATGAGAGTTAGAGGTAGGTGAGATTGTGGGCTTAAGCATAGAACGATGAATGTGGAAAATTTGGTGGGACATCAAGAAATGAGTAAAAGATTATTAAGCAGTAAAAAGGACCCATTTTAATTTGAATCCATGTATTTTTTGATAGGCCAGTTCTAATAGTATTTGGTCTTTTTATGGCAAATCATTATAGCCTAGAAGACTACAAATGAGAGATTAAAGACATCCAGGATTGGATCCAATTTGAGCACATAACAGAAAGTTAAATGTCTATACATTCAATCAACTTTCAGTGATTACATGCTGTTTGCAAATAAAGTGTTTAGTGCACCTAAGAAGTGACTGGTGAATCAAGTGGAGAGTGTTTGCTGATATTGGACTAATAATTCAAAGATTAGGTTCCTTGGCTCTGTTTCCTGTGGCTGTTGGGAGTCAATAACACTAACTCTGGAGAGTCAAGGAGGGAGGATCCAGGGGTTTGGTAGCTTATCAAGCAGGTGTGCTTTTAAAACATGTTATTGTACAAATCAGTCATGTTTACTTGAGAAAAACAGAAATTACATATAAGCATAAACAATAAAGTAAAACATCACTCAGAATCCCATTACCTAGAGATAATCATGGTAACATTTCTTATAATTCTTTCCATATTTTTTCTCTATATATTTTTCAATAAAAGTGGATAATACCACGCATACATTTCATATCTTGTTTTACTTAAAAGACTATGATATTAATAGATTATAGATTTTCCTGTTAATAATTACGTTTCTATACTTTTATAATATTTTTAATGGCACTTTCCATCAGATGGGTATACCATAATTGATTTAATCAATTCCATTTAACATAGTTTGAAGTTTTTAAGGTAATTGGAGGAAACTGATTAAAAGGAAGGAAAACAAGCTGGGCTCAAACCTTGTCTAGAAGGATGAATATGAATCTCAGTGAAGAGCCTCCCAGTGGCAGTTATTGAATAATGAAAAGCAGAAAGAGAACTATGATAGAAAGTAGTAGTGGTAATTATGGAGAAAACTGGTCCCTCCTGACTGTTAATCCAGTCTCTCAGGGAAGTGAGGGAAATTCTGGCTTCCATGGAAGTAGGGCAACAGGAGATAGCAGTTTTCAAAGGCAGAGAGAAGAAATAAGGACTAGATATGGGTGAAGACGTGTTTGCTCCTGGTATAAGAAGGGGTCCCAAAGTGGAGGAAAACAGTAAGAAAGTAACGGTCCTTTGTGTGTGCGGGAATGCGTAGGGCGTTGAGGTGTGAAGTGCTGGCGTTTCTGTGTCAGAAGCACAGACTCTGGAGCCAGACTGCAGTTTTAAATCCTGGCTCTCCACTCACTGTAGAACCTTGAGCAAGTTTCTTAATTTCCTTATCAGTAAAATAGGGATAATAATATACCTACCTCACCTGTGGTCTGTGGCCATGAGGATCCCAAAGGTTCCTAGATGTAAGTGATTAGAACAGTGCCGAGCACACAGGAAGACCCAGTACACAGTAGAGTCGTGATGCAGAGTTGAGTAAGGACGTCTGTTAGACAGCAGGGGCAGTAACTGAAGTGAGAGCAAACTCTCTTGTAGCAGGGGCTGCATAAAGACACAAGCTGTGTACACTGAGAACTGATGAAGGGCTGGAGAATTACAAGCGTGTGGTCACTGAAGCACGCGTACGTGGTACTCCACACCTCACCACAGCACTCCATGTGGAGTGATTAATGGACATGTACGTTCAAAAATCATTCTGTTTCCCCACTATGGCCTGGGTAGAGAACCAGGCAGACATAGCATGGAACTAAGTAATAAGTCTGAAGGACAGTTAGGAGGCTTAAAAATTAAGCCCTTAAAGGGAGGTAGGGGGAGGGCGAAAGGGGTAAAGGGGGACATTTGTACAGTGACACATGGAAACTAGACTTTTGGTGGTGAACATGATGTAGTGTATACAGAAGTTGAAATATAATGATGTACACCTGAAATTTATATAGTGTTATAAACCAGTGTTACCTCAATTAAAAAAAAAAGTTAAACCTTTAGAACCCAAACCTAATTTCCTCCCTAAGTATCCTTGGAATGATGGGATTTGGTCTCCTTTTTGACTCATTGGCCCAGTGGTTCTCAACCAAGAAGAGTAGCACCCCCCTCAACCCTCTCCACACCCATGGACATTTGGAAATGGTGTGGGGACAGTTTTGATTGTCAAAATCTTTTGGGGACATTTAGTAGGCTGGCACCAGAAGTGTTAAGTGCTTTTCAAATGTGCCAGATAGTCCCACATAATGAAGAATTGTCTGCAGAAATGCCAGTGGCACCCCCGTGGAGAAACACTGCAGTGTGAAATTCCTGGTGTAGGGTGAGTCAATCCGGTATTTTCCAAGTCCAAGACCAAAAAGCAAGCCACGTGCTAAGGATTATGTATGAGTAGGCATGAAGAGATTTATTTGCTCCACAGGACATTTTCAGCAAAGTCTTACTTTTGGTTGGAATGTCAGAAATTGCTTACAGATTAACTTTGCCTAAATTCAGAGGCAAAGATTCATCTGTGGTTTTAGTTCCCTTGAGCACAGGAAAGCTGTTTGAATAGTTCTTATGTAGGACGTGAAGGATCATTACTGTAGGTGCCTTCTTTTTTTTTTTTTTTGATAGCTCATTACATTTTTTTTGTGTGTGTGTGAGGAAGATCAGCCCTGAGCTAACATCCATGCCAATCCTCCTCCTCTTGCTGAGGAAGACCGGCCCTGAGCTAACATCTATTGCCAATCCTCCTCCTTTTTTTCCCTTTTTCTCCCCAGTAGATAGTTGTATGTCGTAGTTGCACATCCTGCTAGTTGCTATCTGTGGGACGCCGCCTCGGCATGGGCAGAGAAGCGGTGCCTCAGTGCGCGCCCGGGATCCGAACCCGGGCCGCTGGTAGCGGAGCGCGCGCACTTAACCGATAAGCCACGGGGCCGGCCCTTCTTTTTTTCTTAAACCAAGCCCAAATGGTAGGTTGTGTGTAAGTTTTACTTGTATCTGTTCTTAAGTCTCAACTTTGGGAGACTCTATTATGACTCTTAGAATATAATAATGCCATAAGGGAGAGGAGTGGTAATCTCCTTGTTTAATATAAGGAATAGCATGAGTGCATAATTACCGCCTAGTATGTTAATCATTTTTTTGTGTCTGTGTTCATCTCAGGAGAGAAACCCTTTATCTGTGAAATCTGTGGCAAAAGCTTCACCAGTCGCCCCAACATGAAGAGGCACCGCAGAACTCACACAGGCGAGAAGCCCTATCCATGTGATGTGTGTGGCCAGCGGTTCCGCTTCTCCAACATGCTTAAGGCCCACAAGGAGAAGTGCTTTCGGGTGACCAGCCCGGTGAATGTGCCGCCTGCTGTCCAGATCCCACTTACAACTTCCCCAGCCACCCCAGTTCCTTCTGTGGTGAACACACCCACAACCCCAACCCCTCCAATCAATATGAATCCTATAAGCACTCTTCCCCCTCGGCCCATCCCCCACTCCTTCTCACACCTCCACATCCACCCACACCCTCACCACCCACACCACCTTCCTATCCCTCCCGTCCCTCACCTCCCCCCACCTCCAGCTCTCTTTAAGAGCGAGCCTTTAAATCACAGAGGCCAGGGTGAGGACAACTTTCTGCGGCACCTGGCAGAGAAGAACAGTTCAGCACAGCATCATTAGCATCCATCTCCTTAAGTGTGTTCTCCATGAGTTGTGTGCCCATAGGTGAGTTTGCAGAGAGGGAGTTGGTGAGCATTTCTGTAGCTGTCAGACTCTCCTCAGCCTCCACCAAGAGCTTTGTCGTTGTCGTGGCGAATCAACACCTCCAAGGGAATGAACAAGAAGACTACCTTGAGCTCTCAGAGGGAACTGTCATCCAAACCAGGGGAACCGCGGAACTAAAGCCCAATTTGCTTGCATTTTCTGGTGACTTTTATAAATTTCAGATACTCAGACTTGTGGAATTTTATAATTTCATATCAGCTGATGAGGTATGCTTGCTTTTATATCCTGGACTTCTCCTCAAAGAGGAGACAGGCCTGGTTTCCTTTGTACTAATCGGGAAGGCTGTGAGGTTAATCCAGAGCATTAATTGTATCACTGTGTATCGTAATGAATTCTTTTCAGCTTTTGGCGCTGGCTTCAGAGTTGAGCTAGCCACGTTTCACAGTATATCAAGCGTTATAGAGAAAGACAGAAATTTTCTTCTTTGTGTAGCTCTCCTAACGCACTCTTTATTTTACTACAGAAATTATTTTAGAGTTTTTGTATAGACTTCTTTAGTAGTCTGTTTCTAAAATGAAATGTATTTCAATAAGCGGTGTAATTTTTTCAGTGTAGCTGGACCTATGTTGTAAAATAGAAAAAATTTTTATAATCATCAAAATGTGATTCTTAAAGATGCATTTAACTTCTGTAGTTCAAAGTTATTCTTACATCCGTACAACTCGAAGGTGCTTCAGAGACGAGATGTATCCAAGAGGGTCTCCAGACCAGGTTACTGCAAAAACGAGGTTTTGCTTTCAGAACTTGGCATGAGTCCTTGGTAGTTTTTTTAATCTCTACTCAACACTCAAGTGTCTGTTAGGCTCACTGACATGCTCCTGTCCTCCGTGTTTCATTAATTCAGTTGGTCCAGTCAATGGAATGATTTGCAGAGGGTTGGGCCTTTTCCACGGAAGTCCCCTAAAGCGTGCATGTTTTGAAAATCTGGGTAAAGCCGTTTGCTGTCAAGAGGAAGAAGTAATGGAGATTGTTTCATCTCAGTCACATCTCACTCTCACTTCCCTCAGAACTGTGTTCATGTTCCATCTTCATGAGATGACAGATTGAAGACGCGTAATAACACTGCTTGTTTTGAGGTTGCTTTATTTTTCTAGAATTGTTATGAAAAGATAAAATAGTACACTAACATCACAAACATGATGTGATAGTGGCTGAGAAATTTGGATGAGAACACAAATTGGTTATGAGTTTTAAAATGTCTGTTATATCAGTAGATACATTCACAACTTTGAGCTATTTACTGTAGTGAGGGAAAGAAAGCTCCTGCATTTTGCTGCCCTGTCCTCTGCAGATAATTACGTGACAGCAGCATTCCTGGGCGGTAAGGAGAGCAGCATCTCCAACACCTTTAGGCAGGTTATTTTTTCAAGTTTGGGAAACTTCTAAAGAGCACAATCAATCAGGAGCTTGTTATAGGAAAGGCTAAGAGAAGGGCTAACATATGGGTTATATTTAACTGATCAAATTTATCCAGACTCAATATAGCTAAAAATTTTGTATTTTTTCATCTCAGAGAACTGAGTTCCAAAGCTCGCCTACTTTGTCTCACTCTCCCTCTCTCTATTTTTTTAAGCTTGAAATTTCTTTATTTTTCTTTCCTCAGGCTCTTAAATCATTGCCGGAATCAGGCTGGCTTTTATTTATTTTTTATTTTTAATATTAAATGTGCAGATATACTTCAAGCACTTTTCTGGCTGATTAGCTCTGTGGTAGGAAAAAATGGAACTCTTTCAATTGAGGTTAAGTCCCTATTTTTAAAATATCACATTCTCTATTAGCTTTTTGGTTTAATATTTCTAAATTTTTTCCTTCTGATTATTGCCTTTGTCTTTTATAATGAGCATAGGAAAATTCTGGAATGAGGCAGAAAAGTATCTCAAGACATATACTTTTCTTCCTGATGTTGGATGTAATTTCTAACGAATGTTATTTTAAATATTTGTATACATTCTTTGAAGACCCCGGTACCCAAACCAATAAGGAAAGTTAATTCCTTGTTTATGACTGTTATATCTTTAGTGGCTGCTTCCTCTTACTCCCACAATCTCCTTTGCATTCCATGACAAGTTTGTGGATCTACACGTTTATGTAGGCATATTATTATTTCACGGCCAAGCCTGTAATATTAAAATGATTTTTTAAAAAGATGTAAGTTGCAGCTTAGTTAATTGGTTATACCTTATTTTGTTCTAAATACGTTTACGATATTGGACAGCAATTCTGAATTCTAGACTTCAGACCATTGAATCAACCATTTATGAGGTGTACTATAGTTATTATACACTGGAAAATTCAGGTAGTCATCTTTAATTTTTCATTCAAGAGAATATAGCCATAAGAAAATATCTGCTACATAGGAAAACCAGTATTAAGCAAATAATCACCACCACCCTTAACAGAAGCAAAAAAGAATTATTATTTTTTAAATCAGCATTGTCTTACAATACAGTTCTTAGTGAAATGTATTGTGGAACAATCTGGAAGCTTCCAATTTTTTTTCCGTAGATAAGTATACCTTCCCTGACATGGGATTTGTGGTCTTCAGGAAAACTGCTCAGAACATATTACATCAGTATCATATTACATGTGAATAATGAAATGCATTAAGCATATCCACAACATTAACGCTTCTAAATATGAGAACTGCAGGATTAAGCCTTAAACATATATGTGCATCAGGTTTAACATGCTTAAGACTCAAACTCAGGGTTGAAAATTTGATTGGGGTCCTTTACTAAGATGTAAGTCGCATTATGTGCTGTGTTCAGTCCCACATACAGTACAGCACCCCGTGACTTCTTCAAAACTTATTACCTACTTGCTATCTGCTTAGGAAGAAAGGAATTATGGAGGAGTTTGAGTTCTCAGGCCTTATCTGTACTTAAATAAGTCTTTTAAAGACAACAAAGGCCACATTTCAGCATTATATAGATGTCAGATAGAGGCTGCTTCTCATTCCTTAATTTTACTGTCTTGAAAGGCTTGTATCATTGCTAGAGTTAAGACTTAAGGAAAATTCCCGAGGACTTTCTTGAGTTCACATTGCTTTTTTTTTTTTATTGCATTTTTCTATTCTTTTATCATAGGTTTGTCAAATATGAACTCTTCCTTAGCCTTAGTGAAAGGCTGCTTGCTGCTTTCTCAAATTGAGTCAGGTAGGCTCATACTGAGTTAGATTTTTTAATTTGAATGAGGAAAATAAGATGAAAAGTTTAAAGGCATGTGGCTTCATTTCCACCTGTATTTGTGATTTGATTCTTACTTTTAGCAAGCAGGGAGGTCTCTACATAAAACTTTACGGTAGTTCAAAAACCTTTGCAAATCAGTTACATTTACTTGTACAGTCTACCATTTACATTAACTGTTCTAAATTAATGGCTGAGCATGGACATTACCATAGTTGTACCACCTTTTTAAAAACTACATTTGTTGGAAGTACCTTTTCATTGTGGTTAGAACGCTCCCTATAATTTGAATGTCCCTAGTATACTAACTGAAGGCAAAATACTTTGAAGAGATGTTTGTAAACTTTGAATTTTCTACTTTTTAAAAATTTTTCAGTTTTTATGTTTGTTGAATGGATAAGTATGTTTAGCTTAGTTTTGATTTCACTGGAAGTTTTAAATTTTGAGAAGATCAAGCAGAACTAGAAATCCATTGCAAATGTATATATATTTATCCCATCTTGCAGATTTTGGGTAGTGAAACACAGAATGGTAGGTGGGGTTTTATTGTTTAAAAAACAAAAAGGAAAAGAAAACTGAAGTTAGAGAAACTCTTCTGTTTGAGCTACTGTATTGAAGAGACAACCTTTATTACATTGCTTATCCATGTGATGGACATTGTGATGCTGTTTTAGACTGTATGGAAAGTATTTAATGAAAAAGGGGATGAGTTACATTTAAGAATTTTATCACCTCGCTACCATTACAAAAATCAACTCACTCAGAATTCTTCGGGCTATAAAATTGAGCAAGTAAATATTGGGTTTTAATTTTCCTTTGCCTAAACCAAGATAGGAGATTTCCCAAAAGATCATTTTTTCAGGAATGAAAGGTCATTAGTCATTAGAGATAGTGGCATTATTATGCAATAACAACGCCCTAGCTAACCTGCTTCTGTCATCTGTAGCATTTATAATAAATAACGATGACCTTCCAACCCTGGACACTACCTCGATAGAGCAAACCAGAGATCCTCTCTACATTTTCTATGGAAGCCATAAAAGTTGCCATCAATATATCCACTTTCATAGTTCTATACTTTTATACTCTAGACTTTTTATAGACTTTATGACTAGATCTTTTTGTCTTAGGGGATAGGTTTTGCAAGATTCAAAGGAAAATCAAACTCCTTGGTTGTCCCAACTTTGAAGCTTTAGCTTCAGTAAATTTGTTTAAAGAAGCAGATAGTGTACCATTTATCAAATTCTTCATTTAAGTCAAAACTATTTTGCAGAGCTGCATATCCGGAAGACAAACTTCTCTTTCTTGTTCCCTAAGTAGAAGCTATATTGTTGTAAGAAATTACTTATAAAGTGGATTTCTACCTTGTTCCTCGGTGTGTTACTCGATAATATGTGTGTGTGTTGTCACAATGTTCCTGGAGCTGTTTTTATTTCTTTGTGACAGATAAGTGAGTATACACTTCTCTCGCATTCTCTGTTATCTCACTGCAGCTTCAGTCTCTCACTCTGTTCTTGAGTGCCTTCAAAAAGCCAGCATCCTGGAACATTCTTTTCCTGGTCTGAATCCTACCTCTGATTATTTCATTCTCCATGAGTATTGGGATTCACCCTTATTCAATTGGTTTGGCTCTACAGATTAGCTAAAACCATGGACAAGAATTTTGAACGTATTTCTGTTTTGTTCCCCCATGTCATTTTTAGATTACATTTTTAACTTTTATTTATATCTTATTTCTTCACCTATTGTATCTCTAATGATGAAAGATTTTATCCTTCTCTTACTTTTCATTTTCTTTTCTTTCACCAGAAACTAGATGTTCCTTTAAAATTAAAGGTCAGTGAGCATCTCTTTTGAATATCTTTTTCTCATCTTGGTCTTCCTGAATGCCTCCCCTTTCTGATTAAGGGATCCTGAATGCTGCTGTTGCTATGCCCTATTCCTCTATACCCTCTCTCTTCCAGAAACATTTTGCTAGGTTGTACCCATAATTTTATTTTAGTCAAATTAATTTAAAATTGCTGTTTGGGTTTATCAAAAGTCCATATTTATTGATTTTTGATCTGCCTCTCTCATCCTCCTGTCCCTCAAAGACTTCCAGTTACTTTCTTTTCTACTTGTTCTCATCTAATTAATTTTAAAAATGATTGATACATAATATATGAAGGATGTAATAAAAAGGGGGATTGCAGTGTGTTCTCCATATGATAATGAGCACCTTACTGATGAAACGTTTTAGCAATTGGCTAATCTTTCACAGTCAAAACTGAAGTTTATGCTGTGCAACAGGTCTCTTGCTCCCTTTCAGTTCTCCTCCAAAACTGAAAACAAATAGAACTCTTTAAAATGAGGAAATTGGATTGCTTTTTTTTTTTTTTAAGTGAATGAAAGCTATTGAGTATTTTGGCCTTAGTCAAAATCTTTCCTTTCTGACTTAAAATGTCATTCCTCTTTCCTTAAAGTTAATAATACTAATACTCAGGTTTGCAAGACTAACTAATAACCACATAAAGTGGGCGTCTAAGAAGGCAGCTGTTAATAAATTCTTAATCCTTTTTGCCTGGCGACAGTGTGTTATTGGTGGGACAGTGCAAAATTGTGAGAATTGGTTATGTTTGATAATGAGTAAATTCAAGACATTTGAAGGCTTCACTGGCTATTATGGGAAGACTAGTTTACAAAATGCAAATTGTAGATTTCTACAGAAATAAGGAACAAGAGTTGCTTGTTGTTTTAAATACTTTTTGCTTTAATTTGCCTTGATAGTCTCCATTATTGATCTAGAAGTTTGCCTCTTTTAGGTAGTAACTGGCTACCTAAAGTTACCACTTTGAAATTTGTGGCTTTTCTCTTCAGAGTCCAGGCGGTACAGCAGTGGGAGCCATGTGGGCTCGCACTTGGAGGAGCCCTGTCCCTGAGACAGACTGTTGGCGTGTTTCATGTCTTCTGATAGGAAACTTGGGTTGCAACTCTCAGAGGGCCCTTGTCCCTGGGAGATGTCTCCTCCGCTTTCCAGTTCTGGGTTCCTTTCACACCATTTGAGCTTCTCCACTGAGATCAGGGATGTCATCAATTACTTGAAAATGATTTTGGGGACATGTAGAAAGTGAGGATGGGGCAAGAAGGGGTAGAAGCTTAGCTTCAGAAGGAAATCTGACACTTGCGGTGTTGGTTTTGATCAGCCAAAGAGCCTGTCTCTGTACTGGATGTACCTAAGTATCAGGTCGTTTCTCAATATCCAGCTCCTCTGAACGAACACAGCTTCCTCCCTGCCTTTTACAGGTGAAAAGGGACCTTGTGATCGGAAGGACAGAGATGCCAACTCAGATCCTGCAAAGGGCTCAAGGCTGTGTTTAATTGCATTTGAAAGTTGGTGGGAAATATTTTATTCTTTTAGAATCTCTAATCCTAGAAATATCTTTTCTATGCTTGATTGTTCAACTCATTTGATTTTTTCAAAAGTAAAAAAAAAAAGATGTGTGGCATAATTTTGGTGTTTACTTCTAAAGTTCTGTCCTCAAGGATATATATGAAGCCTCTGAAAATTAGATGAATTCTTCTCAGTCTTCTGTAGGTTATAATATGCATTTTATTCATTTCTTGACCTGGACTGTATGAGTCTATTCCATCAGCAGTACTGGCTTTGTCCACAAGGGAGCAACAAAGTACTTTAGCTTCTTTATTCTCAACCTTCTAAAGAAAGATTCCACTTTTAAGTCTCTTGTAGAATATCCTCTCTTGGCTCAGTGCTTAGTTGTAGATCTTGGTGTTTAAGACATTTTCCCTTATTACTAAGTCCAGTAGTTGCTCAGTTTTCAGGATGCAAAGAATAACGTGTGGGTCAGAGGTCCGTCTGGGTCAGGCATCTTCATTAGCCTTTTTAAATAATGGTGCCCGGAGAGAAAGCCAGGACCTTCCCATGGGGGCTCCATTATGTGCTAAACACAGAGCAGGAAGGCGACCCTCTTTCTTCCAAATCCCCCCACCCTTGCAGGGCCATCACATCTCTGAGAAGGTCAGGAGCGGCGGGGGGTGAGTGGAGCTTGAAGGAGGAAACGCTTCTCACCTTCTCTGCTCCAGGTGGCTGGCTGGTGCACCAGGGAGGAAGTCCTGGGTCAGACCTGCTCCTGACCCAAGGGAGCTCCCCTGCAGCCCCGCCCCTCCAGGCTAGATTTCAGTTTTTGTTCTCTCTCTGTCAGTTACTTGTCTTGGGCTCCTAACCCTCATCAGCTCTCTGACCGCACATTTTATCTGTGCTCTTTGCAGCATCTTCTTCACAATAAGCAGGCCAGTAGTCCACTAAGCGCCACACCAGACTGCAACTATTGACCCTGCAGCACCGCAAGGCATTTGCACCTGGAATGGCTTTCTGAATGGATATGTGCCTGGCTCCTTTTCTCAGCCACGCCTGACCCTGAGCAATACAGGTAGATAGAGGTGTCCACGTGTAACTCCAACACTTGACAAAAGGCAAAACTGAAGCTGTGACTGGTTTGGGTGGCAGGGGTGGCCAGGTGTAACGTGTTTGTTTTTATTTTTGTTTTCCCCAACAGTACTGAAATCACTTGCACTTTTCCTCGTTTCCTAAAGAAAAGAAAATCCAGTTTGCTTGCCAGGAATTGTTTAGCGTTAGGTTTACAAAGCTTGTTGTTGAATGTTGAACATTTTTCCAAAGGAGTTTGACGAAACAGAAGCTGCTTGGTCCCTGTTCTGCCTGCTAGGTCATAAGGATTAAGGCCATGTGGCTGGGGTACTTGTGTCAAGTCCAGAAGGGGGCAGTGTCCCTCTCCTACCTCTGCGAAGATGCAATTGAAGGTCAAATTGGACTCGTGTGTAGGGCAGGTACCTGTCATGCTGCAAAGAAGTTTAGAGGAGTCTTTCAGTTGGGGAAGTGACAGGTAGATAGGACAGGATCTCTTAAGATGGGAAAGACAGTGGGGAGAGGAGAGCTGCTTGGCCCCGGGGAACCGCAGTGAGAGGGAACCGAGCTCCCTCCTGAATCCCCAAACTAGCCTAGCTTCCCTGAGTCATCTTTTTTCCAGCATCCTGTCGGATCCCTCAATGTACTGATTTCCCCTCTTGTGTTAACTATACCAATATTATTTTTTTAGCAATTGAAATGCACTTTTTTATTTCAACTCAATCATGATTTTAAGTATAAAAAATTTATAGACTGTTAAAACTACTTTTTTGTGTATTTTTAACCACTCAATGTAGCATTGTCTGTTTTATTCTTGTGAGACTCTGGTACAAGGTGTGCCACTTCATGATATTTCCGAGATGCTGGGCCTTTGGATGTGTACGGTAACCAACTTAATGCTAATGTTCAAAGTAAAAAAAAAAAGTAGCCATCTCTGTTGTGTGTCTTTCTTCACTTCATTTCTTCCTTATCCTCAGTTGATAACATTTTGAGGTCTCCCTGCACAGTGTTGTCTTTTTCTGTAAAATGAACAATCCTGATCTGGTATCATCCCTTCTCTCTAGTCCTGGTAAGAGGCTGCCCAGCCCACAAACCAGTTTCTGCAGGATAACCTGTTTTCAAGGCTGCTGGCCAAATCAAAGGGATTCATTGTCTTTCTTCGGTGCTGCCTGGCTCAGTGCTGATTGGTTTCAGTAACACTGCTCTGTCCAGCTGAGCAATAATCTGAACATATCCTAGAAAACAGTATTTGAAAAAAGGATCATGATTGGGTTCTGAACCAGTGTGAAGAAAATTAGCACGGATGGAAACAGCTTACACAGTGCGTTCAGTGAGAAGCAATGATGATAAAATACGGCACTTGGGGTGAGGTTCCTCTTCCTGCCCCATCCCCGTGCATTCAGTCACTCGTTTGTTTAGTCCACAAATGTTTGTTGAGGGCCTCATACGTGCTGGGCACTGACCTCGCCCCTGGGGCCTCACCAGTGAACCAGCCGGAGCCTTGCTCTTGTGGAGCATGTGTGCCCGTGGAGGAAACCTGACAATGAACAAGAGCTCTGTGCTGCAGTGTCATTGGTGAGATCCCCTGGAAGGCCCGCCCTCAGAGCTGCTGTTTCCGCCGAGACTGGAAGAGCAACTGTTTTCTGTCACCAGCCTCTCCAGCCCGGAATCCACCTCAGGATTCCAGTGAGAGGAGCAAAGCATGTAGGAAGGAAATCTAGTTGTTGGAGGTTCCCTTTGTTTAAAACCTCTTAGAATGGAACAAAACTGCCCAGATCATAGAATTACCAGCCTTATTTTCTGTCATCTTGTAACTGACTAGATGCTGATGTTAACACTTTTTTCATGGGTATAAAGTAGATAGTCCCTCTACCCCAATATATACTCAATCAGTGGCTTTCACACTGTGACTGTGATCCATGATAAGAAATGTATTTTCTTATTCCTTGGCTCTATGATATACATATCTATGAGCTTACTTATGTAAGTGAATTAAAAATTCAAGACAAATGTCTTTGGATGTGGTGCGCTTTGAGAGAAAATACTGATCCTGAACCACTACACTAATTTGAAGACCCACTGATGAGTCCTAGCTGCAGTTGGAAGAATCCTGTCCTAAAGCCGTGTATATGTGTACTATTTTATTACAACAGCAGCCTGAATTCAGTTTCAGATAGAATCAGGTGGTTTTAACTGGATCTTCCAACCTCTTAAGTCTTATGTGTTTCTCTTTCTGACTGGGTCCAAACTCTGAAGCTCCCCACACAGACTGGCCATCGCTCACTCCAGCGCCCCGCAGTGGAGACAGTTCCAGTCTTGGGCACACTGCGTCCTTTCTCACAGGGCCCATAAGCCACTGCCAGTACCGAGGTCACTAGAACTGCTCGCTTGCAATTTAAACATGAACTCCCTTTTCAAGGTCTCCATGGTACATGCTAATCGTAGAGATCCTCCAGTCCCACCTCGCTGTGTCCATGCCCTTTTGTAGCGTGTCCTTGCTCTCTTCCTATTAAGCTCCCAGTAAGAAGTGTAGCACATTCTCAACTCCCTTGAATCTGGGCTGGTCTTGTGACTTCTTTGACCAATAGAATGTGGAAAAATGATGCGCAAGTTCTGGAGCCTGTGCCTCAAGATGCTTGCAGCTTCTGCCTTTATTCTCCTGGAGCACGACTGCCATGTGGAGAAGTTCAGGCCAGAACACTGAACGATGAGAGACTGCGTGGAGAGAGAGGTCCCAGCTGTCCCTGCCAAGGCTCCAGACATGGGTGAGGACATCTCAGACCCTTCAGCTCAGTTGACCCTCTGACTAAATACATGCTTAGGAGCCCAGGTTAGACCAGCAGAATAACTGCCCACCCAACCCAAAGAATCATGAGAAATTATTGTTATAAGCCACTCAGATTTGTGGTGGTTTGTTACACTGCAATGGATAACTTGGAACAGCCCTCAGATTTAGGTCTAACGGTTAATGAGAGCTTGTAGCTTTGCACAGTCCCTTATGCAAGAACCTTAACTTTTGGGGGGCATAACTGAGTAATGTTTCTAGGTCCCTGCTACCTCTATTTCCAGTCCATACTTAGCAACTATGAACTGTGGTAGGAAGGAGGGTGTCCTCGTGTCCACAGCTGATTCACCAACAACACAACCATTTCAGAATTCCCCTCCACCCAGTCTTCTGGCCTGCTCCTCTGTGTTCCCAGGCTTATTCCTGAACTTCCTGAGTTAGGAAATGCCTGGTTTCAGAGCCCTCTGCTTGGTCCATCTCGCCCTCAGCCCCTGCCCCTCAAGCATAGTAGCACCCTATTTAGCGTCAATATTCTGCAACAACTTTTGATTCTTCCCAGAGGTTATTGAGGGAGACAGTAGAGTCAAAGACACAGGCTTGTTCACAGACAAACCTGGGCTCAGTCTTTTCTCTCCTACACAGTCATTTGTGTGGCTGTGAGCAAGTTATTTAACTACTCTGAGCCTGTTTCCACATCTGCAAAAGAGGATATTAATAGCAGCTCCCTTAAGGTCATGGTGAGGATTAAATAAAGCAATGCAGGTAGAATGCTCAGCTCAGTGTTGGCAGGTAGTAGTTGTGACAGGCAGCTCGAATGATCTGGATGATCCCCACCTCCTGGGATTCACACCCCTGTGTAATCCTCTCCTCTCTAATTGAACTGGATTCAGTGACATGCTTCTAAGGAATAGAATATGACAGAAGCAGTGTGATGTCACTTCCAAGATTAGTTACAAAAAGACTCCTGGGTGTGGTCTCTTGCTCTCCAGTCACCAGCTGTCATGTCACGAAAACACTGAGGCAGCCTGTGGAGGACATGACCAGGCGCGGAAGCCTGCCAGCAACCACGTGAGTGAGCTTGGAAGTGGATCTTCTGAGGCCTGCCAACAGCCACATGAGTGAGGTTGGAAGTGGGCTCTTCAGCCACAGCAGAGTCTTGAGGTGACTGTAGCCCAAGCCGGTAGCTTGATGACAACCTCATGAGAGACCCTAAAGCAGCATCTCCTGTCTACGCCCAGCTCAGATTCATGGCCAACAGAAACGATGGGATAATTACTGTTCTTTTAAGCTAAGTTTGGGAGTAATTTATTATGCAGCAATAGACAATTAATACAAAGTACAAATATTAACTAGGAGATACAGAAAACAATCATTGTAGTGGATGCTGTGGCATGCCGCCCAGATTCTCCCCCCTTCAGGGTTCAGGCACTCATTCTCCCAGCTGCTGCAGAGTGTTTGGGCCAACAGCTCTCAGCTGAGTCCCTCTCCAGGAATTGCTCTCAGCTGAAGAAAGCCACCTCCCAAAGTCACACCTCCTCTCCTTCCCAGGGGCAGCCCACATCCAATGACTGGTTGGTGCAGACGTATAAAAATCCCAACCTGTTGCCTCAAGGTGGGACAATTTTGAAGAGCCTCCCTCTCCTGAACTCCCTGTGAGACCAGCTGAGGCCTTTCCTGTGAATGTTCAACTCTGTTCCCAACTTGACCTCTGTCCAATCCTATTTCCTTGAGGACTCTCCAGGTCTTGATTCTCAATACTCGAGTCAGTTCCTAGGGAACCTGATCTAATACAGTTGGTGCCAGGATTGGTTCAGGGAAGCAGACTCTAAAATGAGATTTTGTCCCCTTGCTGGGCAGCTGGTGATGAAGACCCCATCACTAGTGGTAGGTGGAACTGACACTCCTCTCATGCTGAAGAGGTACTATTGTTCAAACTTTCACCAGTGGTGAACCTGTTGAAGGGGGGTGAAATATCACAGGCTTTTGAGAGGTTAGGGAAAGTACTTATTCTAAAGACAATGGACTCTGAAGACCATTGGTGAGTGCCCTTGATGCATTAGGGAAAGATAATGAATGGCCAAGGGTCTTTAATCACCAACAGAAGGCAAGTGTGAAAGTCAGCAGGCCCTGTGTTGTTAAAACCACCACATTTGTGACATTTGTTAGGCAGCATTAGAAAACTAAAACAGATGCAGGTACCTGGAAGCGGGGACCATAACAAACACCTGAAACTGTGGGAATGGCTTTGGAATTGGGCAGTGAGTGGAGGCTGGCAGAATTTTGAGGAGCATGATAGAAAAAGCCTAGCTCGCCTTGAAGAGGCCTTTAGTAGAAATATGTATGTACGTTCAAGATGCTGCCAGTCAGGAGAATGTGAGGGAAATTACAGAGAGATCCTAAATTGCCTGAGAGACAGCCTTAATCTCCATGAACAGACCATTAGTAGAAACCTGGACATTAAGACACTGACAGTGAGGGCTCAGAAGGAAGGGAGGAATATGTTACTGGAACTGGTGGAAGGGCGATTCTTGTTACGTAGCAGTAGAAAGCTTAGCAGAACTGGGTCTGGCAGTTATGTGGAAAACAGAACCTAGAAGCAATGAACCTGGATATTTAGCAGAGGAGATTTGCTAGGCAAAACCTGGTTTCTTTTTGTTGTTTATAGTAAAATGCAAGAGGAGAGCAAGAAATTAGGGGGAGAACTGTTAAACAAAAAGGAACCAGGACTTGATGATTTGGGAAATTCTCAGCCTATCCAGATTCCAAAATATACTAAAATTCAGAAATGGCTGCCAAAAACCGGCATAGAAAAAAGGCCGGGTACGTGGCTGTACAACCTTTGGCTGAAACTTCAGAAAGATCCAAAGGCCGGTCACAAGAGAGAAGCGTTGAGTTAGTTTGCTAGGGCTGCCACGATGAAGTACCTCAAACTGGGTGGCTTAAACAACAGAAATGTGTTGTCTCACAGTTCCCGAGGCTACACAGCCAAGACCCAAGTGTCAGCGGGATTGGTTCCTTCTGAAGACTGAGCCTCTGTTCCATGCCTCTCTCCTACCTCTGGTGGGTTGCCGGCAGTCTTTGGCGTTCCCTGGCTTGTAGAAGCATCACCTCGATTTATGCCTCCATCTTTACATGGCGTTCTCCCTGTGTGTGTCTGTGTCCAACTTTCCCCTTTTTATAAGGACACTAGTCATATTGGATTAAGGGTCCACCCTATTCCAGGTTGACTTCATCTTAACTAATTACCTCTGCAACAACCCTATTTCCAAATAAGGTCACATTCTGAGGTACTGGGGGTTAGGATTTCAACATATGAATCTGGGGGGGACACAATTCAATCTATATCAAGGGTATTATTCTTCATAGATCTCAGTCAAACCAGGGGGCCTCTAGGAAACTTAGGGAGTATTGCCCCATAGCGTTTTCAGCAGAAGCCAAATATAGAGAAGGGGTTATCCCAGAAAGATCTGTGGGAGAGTCTTTTGTCTAATGGAGTGAATCCTTGTGCAATCCATGCAAAGCCCACAAAGTTCTTGAGAAATTTATACCCGCAGAAATATCACGAGCTTGGATTGAAAGAGACAGAGTAGAGAACGAAAGAAGGCTTTGAGTTCCCCAAACTTTACTGGCAGGGAGAAGGCTGATAAATCTTTCATGAAAAAGGAAGAGTGACTCAGAGGGTGGATCCAAGAGCCCAGAGGGCAGAGTCAAGAGCCATGAAGTGTTATTCCTAGGCCTTGAAACCTAATAGAGTTTGCTCCACTAGATTTAAAAATTGCTTTAGACTGGTGACATTTCCCCCTTTTTGAACCAGAATATAGCTGTTGTCCTATGCCTGTGCCACCATTGCATGTCAGGAGTGTTGGGGGCATATAACTTATCTGTTTAGTTTCACAGGTCCATGGATGGAGAGGAATTGGACCCAGGAGCTGTACTTAAAGGGTTATCCTCAGGGGATTCACATGCACCTGATTTAGAAGATGAAACTTTGGACTTTTGAGCTGATGATATTTCGATGAGATTTTGGACTTGGATGCTGTACTAGAATGAGACTCTTGGGAACCTTGGAAGGGGGTGAATTTATTTTGCATTTGGGAGGGATGTGAATCTTTGGGGGCCAGAGGGTGGACTGTGGTAGGCAGAGTTCTAAAAATGGCCCCCCAAGATTACACACCCTAATCCTTGGAACCTATGAATATGATGAGATTCTACTCCCATGATTATGTTGTGTTATATGGCACAGTTGACCAGACACCCTGAGCAGAACCTAGTCCAGCCTGCTCAGACTCCTACCTACAGAATTGCATGATAATAAATGAATGTTGTCTTAAGCAGCTGTTTGTGGAAATTATGTATGCAGCAATAGAAAACTAACTGCCGGGCCGGCTCCGTGGCTTAGCGGTTAAGTGCGCGCGCTCTGATGCTGGCGGCCCGGGTTCGGATCCCGGGAGCGCCCCGAGGCACCACTTCTCCGTCCAACGCGAGGCCGAGTCCCACGTACAGCAACTAGAAGGATGTGAACTTATGACATACAACTATCTACTGGGGCTTTGAGGGGAAAAAACTGAATAAATAAAATCTTAAAAAAAAAAAAAAAGAAAACTAACTGCCTTGGCAGCATAAAAGGAGAAACTCTCTTCTCCTGCAGCCAGAAAGCAGAAAAGCTGAGGATCAGGCCCAGGACTTAATTATAAAAGTAGCAGAGCTCCAGATAAAGCTGGATCCTCATCCACTGCAAGCCTACTGTGACAAGGTCAGGGCCTGGTTGGGAAGAGGTGGGACGCTGAGATTTGTAATGGGGACATCTGGGTCCAGGAAGTCCCAGATCTCCCTGAACCTTCTGGGCCTGCAGAAGTGGTTCACTCCTCCCTGTAGGAGGCTAATGTTCCCCTCGTGCTTAAAGAAGATGCAGAGGCCTCTGCCTTTCAATAATGCACACCTCTCTGGATCTACCCCACCTCTCCTCCTGGCTGCCAATAACTAGGGTCAAGTCACAACATAACTTAGCCAAGGAAGTGCTGGCCTTGCTAAAGGAAGAAAAGGACTGCGCCAGTTGTCAATGTTTGCCTCTCAGCTCCAACTATACCCTTCATTGCCTGCTCTGTAAGAATGGATCTGAGCCCTTTAAATATTTCTCATTTGCCAGTTGGCACAATGTTAAGCTTTGTCACTAGAGGACCATGGAGAAAATTTGCAAGAGAAAGGGGTTTTCTTTCCAAGTTCTAGTGTGCTCTCTTGGCAGGCTCCTGCAGCTTCTCCAACCCCTGGCTTCTGCAGCATGGGCAGCTTCTCGATTGTCCAGTTCTAGTGCGTGGCAGTCAGCATCACCCAGTGGCCAGCAGCCTTCCCCAGCACTCCCCTCAGGGAGTTTCATAGTGGACCGCCTCCAGTGACACACTTCCTCACGCATGGCTTTCCCAGGCATCCCAGAGGGCAGACTTTGGTGAGTTCTGCAGGGCAAATTTCCAGCAAGTCCCACCTGCTCAGCACCACAGTGACTTTCCTTCCATCCAGTGAGCCATGACTGTGTCCTCTCTACGAAATCTGGATCTCAACCCTGGGGTGGCCTCCTTCTTGGGGCTCTGTCTCAGCATTAGGGGTAGTGGCTGCTCCTTATATCTGTTATTCCTTTACTCTCTCGAGTTCTCTTTGTTTTTTACTAGCCAATCCTTCATTACTCCAATTCCCTGTTATACTTCATTAGTCTATGTATTAAACGTTCCCTTTTCAAATTACTGTGTGGTTTCTGTCTCCTGATTGGATTCTGTTGGATTCAGGCTCTGTATTCTGAAGTTGCAGGACCTAGCCCACATGGACTGACAGAAGCCAGGACAGTGTTATGGGACTGGATCAAGGGGTATAGGGTGGTGTAAGGTTGGGTAAGTGACAGTTTATTGTTATGGGAGCATTCTGGTAACAGACCCTAGCAAAGATCCCAGGAAACGGTGCTAATATGCTGCCAGGATGGCTTTTGGAAATTGGGAGAAAGCAATGGCCTACACTAAGAGAAGAAGAAAGGCTGAAACTGCTATGGAAGACAAAGAAATAAAGGCTCAGAGAAGTGGGCATGCTACAGTGGATATACTGTGAAGAGCGGGAAAATTGAACAGCTAACTGTATTCCACACGAGGGCCTGGAGGACACCTGTGGCCATATTAAAAGGATAAGAAATCTCCGGTGAGAGGGACACCATCATCCCTGAGAAGCTCCATGTGTCTGTCCTCTGTAGGTCAGAGCTGATGCTACACAACTAGACTCCCTAATAGCAACGGGGCTGATAGGGTCCTTACATAATAGAGGCCACATAGTAGCACATAAACATCAGAAGCAAGGTGGATTCAGTTATAATAAGTGGCCACGTCAGATTCGGGCCAGTGGGATGGCTGATCTGCAAAGAGCTATGGAGGTGATTAACAGAACATGGCAGGAGTGGGAGTCTCCCTTATATCCTCATTAAATTCACCAGGCCGGCCCCTGCAAAAACCAGACAGAGCCTAGGGGATTAAAATGGACCACTGCAAACTCAACAAGTAGTAGCCCCACTGAAACTGCCGTGCCAGATGTGGTATCTCTGCTAAAGCTGATTAACACGGCCTCGGGTACATGGTCTATGGCCATTGATTCTACTGAATGCTTTCTTCTCCATCCCTGTCAAAGAGAATCAGAAAAAATTTACATTCCCTTTAGATGGATAGAAATATACACATGGTCTTATTCCCTCTCCCCTCCACTTGCATTATCCTTCCCGCCCTCTGATATAATACACATAGTCCAAAGGGACTTGACCGTCTGGATATCCTAAAGAGCATCACTCACATTGATCCACTGCATTGATAACATTATGTTAGTCAGACTGGATGGGCAAGAAGTGGCAAGTATTTTGGAGGCTTTGCTAAGACACGTGTACTCTAGAGGGTGGAAAAGAAGCCATAAGAAGATTCAACGGCCTGCCACGACAGTGAAATGTCTAGAGGTCCAGTGATCTAGGGCATCCAAAATAAAGGACAAATTATTTTATCCTGCACTTCCCACCCCAAAGAAAGAAGTACAATGCCTGGTAGGCCTCTATGTGTTCTGCAGGCATCTTTCCATACTTAGTAAAGCTGCTTCAACTCATATAACTGATGGCACAAAGGGAAGCCAACTTTGAGTGGGGTTCAGAGTAAGAAAGAGTTCCTCAGCAGGTCCAGGCCATAGTCAAGCAGGCCTACCACCCAGCAGATAAGGGCCATACAACTTAGGGCATTAGAGGTATCTGTGAAAAAATTATGTGGAGTTTATGGCAAGCCCCAATAGGAGAGTTATGTAGACACATAGGGTCTGGAGCAGGTCCACACCATCTGCATAAGATCATTATAAACCTTTTGCAAAACAGCTCCTGGAATGCCACTGGACCCCGCAGAAACAGATCACCTGACCATGGCCATCAGCGTTCCCATCTTGAGCTCAGTTCTGTCAGACTCACCAATTCATAAGGTCAGGGGGCCTAGCAGCACTCTAAGATACAAAGACTATATCCAAGATTGAACCTGAGCAAAAACAGAGGGCACAAGTAAGTGGTACAAGCAAGCTACATAAGCATGTGGCCTCGATCTCTGTGTCATCCACCACTATTACGCTGGTTCCTCTCCTTTAGCTTACATGTATGGTGGCTACGTGGGAGTAGGGGGTGGGAAGGAGTCCTTTATGATCATCTGAAGGAAGAGAGGAAAAAGCAGAGCTTGGGTCACAGATGAGTTGGCTTGGTGGATGCAAGCTGGGAATAGACTTCTGCTGCCCTATAGTCCTACTCCGGGTAGTCCTGAAAAACGGCAGTGAGAGAAAATCCTCACAGTGAGCAGAGCTTTGGCTGTGCACCTGGACATTCACTGTGTGTGGAAAGAGAGGTAGCCTGAGGTACGAAGATACCAGAGACATGCACAGTGGTAAATGGCTTGACTAGTTGTCCAGTGGCTTGAGAAGTAAAGTTTGGAAGGTCAGATACAAGGAGGCATGGTAAAGAGACATGTGGATGGACCTATGGGAATAGGCATGAAACGTGAAGATCTTCACATTACACATTAATGCCTGTCAGAGAGCATCCACCACGGAAGATGCACTACACAACTAAGTAGACAGAAGAACTAGGTCGGTTGATGTCAGCCTGACTCTGTCATTGGTCAACCCAGTGCTCACTCAATGGGTGCATGAATGGAGAACCATGGGAGTAGGGATTGAAAGCTATAACTGGGCCAAATAGCATGGGCTCCCACTCACCAAGATTCATCTAGCTACTGCCAACCAACCTGCCACTAAGAGACGAAAGCCCGCCCCTGATATGGCACCACCATTCCTCAGAGATCAACTAGATGACAAGTTGATTGCATTGGGTCCCTTCCACTCTGAATGAGGCAACAATTCATCTTGACTGGAATCAACACATACTCTGGGTGTGGGTTTGTCTTTCCTGCCACAGGGCCTGTGATGGTTAGTTCTATGTGACAACTTGACTAGGTTATAGTGCCCTTATTCAATCAAACACTAATCTAGGTGTTGCTATGACGGTATTTAACATCTACAGTAAGTTGACTTTAAGTAAAGGAGATTATCCTTGATAATTTGGGGAGGTCTCATCTCATCAGTTGAAGGGCCTTAGGATCAACACTGAGGTTATCCTGAGGAAGAAGAAATTCCACTGTGGACTGCAGCATCGGTTCCTGCGCGACAGTGCCAGCCTACTGGCCTGCCTAACAAATTTTGGACTTGTCTAGCCAGCCCCCCACAATTGTGTAAGCCAATCTCTTGATATAGATATAGATATAGACATCTATATCTATATATACACACACATACACATCTCCTACTGTTTCTCTGGTGGAGCCCTGACTGATACAGGGCCTGTGCCAGCATCACTATCTGAGGGCTTATAAAAAAAGGGGGGGAGTGGGAGTGGGCAGTAAGCCTCCTGCTCCCAAATCACCGGTTCCTAGGGGACCCGACTTAAGGCCACAGCTAACCTGTCCCAAATACCTGTTGTGCGGTATCCATTAATATGGATCTGATGTTAAAGACAAGACTGGGGAAGAAGAAAACTATTCAGGGTCTCAACTCTCTGGCCTGGTATTCTGTGCTGCCTACTGACGCCCAGTAAGTGTTAATAACCACAGATGGTGGTAAATCACAGTTTGTAACGTTGTCAATGGGTGACAGGAATGGTAACCACAGAGTGTGGCCAGCCTGAGTGGGTGGGTACAGATTAATCCAAAGAAGATTTTTTCTAAAAAGTTTCCCCCTTGAGTAAACGGACAGGTGTTGATGTTTGGGGTGGGGGTCAGGGGTCTCTGTAGGATGAATGCAGAAGCACAGCCCTCTGCAGTCCCTCATGTGTGAAGTGACCAGCTCAAGCCCTGAAAGGGGTCAGAAGCAGAGGAATGATAGCTTGAGCAGTCAGAGTAATGAGGGATGCTCCCCTGGAGTCAGGAATATTGAACTGAAAAATGAGAACAGTTGGTGTGCAGCATGTGGAAATTACTTTTCTTGCTTTCTGGTTGTGACTTTGTGAAAATCAGTTTAGGAAGCCAGTGAGCTGCTTTGACTGATGCATGGATTTCACAGCTGGGGTTCTCCGCCTCACGCTGGGCCCAGGTGAGAGGATGTTCATTACTGTAGGCCGGCCCGGTGGTGGATTAAAATCCAGTGAACTCATTGGGGAAATGCCAGCCCAATGCAGGCCTGGAGCAGCAGAACTTTTACAGACCAGGAATGTAGGCAGGCTGAGGTGAATGACAGTGGCTTGGATTAGCAAATAATATCCCAGACAAATTTAGACCACAAAATAGTGCTCATCCTGGAAAGCTACAAAATTAGAACTTCAAACATCAGCTAGTTACAAATTAAGACTTTTTAATTTACCTTCCTTGCCCTCAGGGAGCCACATCTTTCTGCCCAGGTCGCTACCACAAGGAGAATGAATAGAATTATGTATTTGGGGATAATGTGACATGCTTGGGTTGGGTCTATTAAGACCCACACCCAGTGTCTTGAGTGAAAGAACAGGGCCCTTTTCAAAGGACTTGGTTTTTTCCACTTCTTTATGATCCAAGTTACTAAACCCCAGGGATGGGTCAGGAGAGAGCTGGGGACTTCAGGAGACCAATGATGGAGCATCTGAAACTTCCATCGAACTCAGGGGCCCACTCTAGTGAATCCCGAGCCTGCTCCACGAGTTGAAGCACAGTTTGTGAGGATGACAGGAGAGCAGGCTCCCCAAGGCCACCTGACCAGTCTACAGGCCCTTCTGCCTCCTCTGCTCTCCTCCAGCCCAGGCCTCTCACCACCATACGGCCCCTCTGCCTGTCCCCCATCCTCCCAGGTCTCAATCTCCACGTCCTCACCCAGGCCTGGGCCCTGGGCACATGCTCCTCCTCCTCTACCCTAGCTACATTCCTCCACTTTGGTGTTCTAGACCGATGTGCAGGGCAATCACCAGGAGACACTGTTCTCCATGTGACAGGGGGATAGAGTCAGGCAGGTGGGCTTTTGGTTCAAGAATCAGAACTCTCTAAGTCAAAACTCCACATTTCACCTTCCTTGGAGTCTCACCTCTCATTTTACAGGTGAGGAAACTGACTCCCGGAGAGAAGTGACCTCAAGGCCACACTGCAAGTTCATGGCAGAGCTGAGGCTACATCCCAGGATGTCAGTCCCAGGACCTCCCTGTGGCACTCCTTTCTCATCCCTTTGCTTGCATATGGGTATTTCTCTTATTCTAGTCTTTCAAAGTAATACACAAATTCTAATTCCTTCATATTTTAAAGGAGGGGAAGCAATATAGAGACTGATCCAACAAAGAGCAATAGGTTCCAACTTCATTTTTATTGGATACTCATTCTATAATGGCATGTTTAATACAAGGTGCCATTCTGACTTGGGTTTGTCTTGTGCATCCTCAGCACCCCATGCCAGATGGCGGGACCAGGAAGTCTGGGAAACAGTTTTTTCACTAGTGGATAAGTCACACACGGATAATCAAGAATCAAATGCTCGGATTCACCAGGCTATACTTCTGATGCCTACGAATGGAGAGAGAAATAGAAACTACCTCTTCTCTCCTTGCCTAGGATAAATGGAACAACTAGCCCCTGGTTTCCCTCCAGGCTATGCGGAGATTTTGAAGAATTCAAATCTTCACTGCTGCTGCCTAGCATGGTCTGTCTGCCTGTCTCTCATTTCCTCCCTCTCCTCCCAGGTAGGTCTGGTCTTGCTGATGGATGCTGCCGGGTCAAGGCTGAACATAATAATGGCCTTCCCCAGATTGCTGCTTGGGTGCCCCCCTCAGGCATCTGGGAATTCAGGTCTCCAGCTTCCCCAGCAAGTCACCTCAAGGTGATAGAAATAGTGACCATGTATGGAAAGAGTACCAGCCTAGAAAATGGGGTTCTAGTCCTAACTCAGCTTCTATCCCAACCCACCTTTCTGGGCCAATCATTCACCCTTCAAAACCCAGCTCAAGCACTACCTCCTCTGTGTATTTGATTTTTTCCCAAGCACAGCTGGTCCCTCCTCCTCTGCCACTCCTGCACTCTGCATATAACTGTCACAGTTCTTATCACGTCATTTATAATCAGTGGCAGACTTGTCTCCTAGTCCTACTGTGAGCTCCTCAATTGAAGAGAATTGTCTTGATCATCTCATCTTTCTAGCTATAGCAAGGGCAGGTACTCAATATACAAATAAACAATTATGGAATCACTCCAAAATGAGAGAGTTGGGTTCGGTGACCTTGAAGGTGGCTTCCTTATTTAAGAGTCTGTGATGACTCCAATCTCTCTTCCAGGATGATTGGGTCTTGATGCCTGAGAGGCACAGAAGTGAAAGACCCAGGATTCCTAATTCCTTGGTTCTTCAAACCAAGCATACTTGATCCAAGCATCCCAACCTAGTTGGTCTCTGAGTTGGACACAAAGAAATTACACATATACATCATATACACAGGTATGACAAGGATTTGGGGGTTAGATGTGACTCTCCTCCTTCTGTGAGAGTAGATCAGTCATCTGAAAGCATTTTGAAGTCTGTCATGACAGTGTCCCTATGAGATGGTGTTTCTCTAACAGGTGAGAAGATGGAGTGGTTCTCCAAGGGAACGGGAATGGAGGCAAAGAATATCTAAAGGGGTTGAGTGCTTTGCTCAACCATACACAAGTTGAAGGGCGATCCAGATTCTCGGCTGGCACTCTCAGTTCCAGCTCTGGGTTATCTTGACCAAAGAAAGTCTTGACCAGGCTGTCTGCAATCTACCACAACGGGTGCAGCCAGCCATTTCCTCTCTGAACTGTTTGGGGGCAGCAGGGGTCTGGGAAGAGATACTTTTGATGTGGTACGTTTAAGCAGAGGGTCTTCCTTGGTGTGGTTTGGATCATTGCCATGGTGTGTTTGGATAATGGCTAAATTAGCCCTCCAGAAAGACTGGGAATGAAGGATGTCTAAATATAATATGCAACTCAGTTTGAGAGCTGCCTGTGGGTAGAATGGAAGAACCCCATCTAGAGGTATAAGATAGTAGAGATATCAAATCCACCTCTCATCCCCACTCTCCCAGCTCTGGGCATTTTTTAAAGGCAGAGAAAAAGCACAGGCAGTAGGGGTCAAACCAGGTCTCTGGGCATTTCTGCCCCTTCCAGGTACCAGAGAAGAAAATGCCATTGGGAGTAGGGGAGAGCATGCAGGGAGGTGGGTTGCTGCCAGGCTGCAAATGTTGAGCAAGATTGTGCAGGTAATTTGTGGAGCCAGTAGGTGTGCGCTTATAACACTCTGGACCCGTGGAGACAGCTCTTCTTAGAAACTTTCCAGTTTTCTGGCATTTCACTAATTTAGCCAAACCACCCCTGGCAAAAAGTCTGGCTGTCCTTAGCC